ATATATTTATTTCATTATTCACGTTTATTTGTTGATAATAAACAAATAGAAAATATTATAACGAAAAATCGTTTTCGAAAATTTAGCCGTTTATACGGTATTATTTTTAATGATATGATTAAATATAAAAATGATAATTTTATTTATATTATTGATATGAACCATGATTTGCATGTAGAATATTTTAAAAATATTATGATAAAATCAAAACGTTTTCTATCATTATTATCATTAATATGTAACAATAAATGTAATATGAATATCAATGAAGATTCTTTAATTGAACAATTAAATATTATTGAAAATAAATTAAATGCATATGACATTAAATTACCTATGTTTGGTTTATCTGGATTAAATTATATCATTTATCAAAATAAAAAAGCATTAACTGAACCTATGTGGTCAAAAATAACAATGAATACAAGATTACTTGTAAATCTGATACATGAATTCTTTTATGTATTTCTAACATCTTATTTTAATGATTTTTCATGTGGTACACGTCAACGAATAGAATGATTAGAAGGTGGATATTTGTTTGAAGAACAAATTTTTCGTACAATTAAATATAATTTCTGGTATGATGATAATTGTTGTCAATTAATATTTGATGAAAATACATGGTTATTATCAACAAATAATTGTTTATTTACAAATGATATATTAACAAAACTAGATAATATGTCTCAAACTGATGAAGAATTTCTTAGAGATCTTCCAAATATACAATTATCTGGAATTGAATATGCTGTTAATACACCACCTATGTATGAGTAATATTATATTAAATTCTTATATTATAATGTATCATCATAGTCGAATATAATATTCCAATAAAAGAAGTAGTATAATACTATTATAATAGAACAAAATAAAAGATAACATATGAATTGTTGTTGAGAACATATTTCCACTTATTTGTTTATTTTTTGTATCATTTGTTGAAGAAATAAGATTGAAAAAAATAAATGAATAAATATTTTTTTTCATATAGGGTGGGTGTGGTTATCTTGAGGGCGCGGGTGTGGCTGTGGCTATGGCTGTGCGTATTCATCTTTGGCTTCTACACCCACACACCCACACCCACCCATACACCTTATGAAATGTTTTATGACTAGTCAACAAAAAAAATTGAATAGAAACTTTTTTCTGACATTCTTTTATTGTAATTTAAATGAATATTAGACTAAATATATTCATATTCTCAGAGATAGACATTAATACTGTTTCCATCGTATGGATATTTCATTTATCTGTTTCTCTATATAAATAATAATCATGAAAACAATGTAATATATACAAACATTTCAGATAAACTTGTTATGATTGTGAAAGATTATATTAACTAGCAATACTCACATTGAACAAAATAACTTCAACAACCGATCTTGTTCAAATTCTAATAAAAATCGATTTATCTTGTGAATTTTATTTTTTTGTGGGCACAATTTTTCATAGAATTTGTAAGTTGTAAAATAGTATAAATTCATTAGAAAAAAATATAAAGAGATATTAATTTTAGGAAAATTCAATTTAAAATTCTATAATAGAAAACCGAAAGACAAGATTCGTCTTAATCTAATAACTTCTAAGACATGCAGATGTATTTCATATCAGATACTCTTCTATTGATCTTCAATTATGATAATTTTATTAGTACAATGTTGTGAAACAAAAAAGAATAAAAAATATACAGATGAATTACTACGCAAGATGAATATGTATTATTTTATGTTCGACTTTGACAATAACATTATTTTCATCGTTTATGCTTAAACCATATGATTGACGTCGTTTTTTTATGACATAATTGCGAGTAAATGGATTGCGTAATAGAGAGCGATGTCTTAAGTGTATCATAATAAAACGTAATTTAGCAAGTCCAGCTAGAAAAATATCAACAATAGGTATTGCACTATAAATTGAATAGACTTCGATTTCGATAAGAGTCAAACATGAAAAAAGTTGAACAATAGTTGATGCATATTTTGAATGAAAGTACTCATGATCTGCTAATATACGAAGTTTTTTTAGTCGATTAAAAATAAGAGTTAATTCATGATTATTTAATATTGTATATGAGAAAAATAGTGAAGAATCAATAATAAGTTCTGTGACACTTGGACATGCCCTAAAAAAGAAACAGAGAAAATCATAGTATTTTATATCAACATATTTTTATGTTCTATGTTTTAATGAAAAATCTATCAAAACAACTTTTCTTGCTAATAAATCAATATAAGCCGTTTTGGTGAGTTTCAAATTATAATGTTCTTCATTGTTCTTTGAATAACTTATGAAAGAAACATCATACAGATTTGCGGTTTTCATTATTCAGAAGTGAATACTCAGAACCTAACTTGTTCTGTTCCAGAGTTATAAGGTTTTTCCTGAAACCTCCGGTTTCAGAAAATCGACCTATAATTTCCCGAAGGTAAGAGTAATTCACCGTATTGATTCGAATGATGATATTTGTTTTTAGCTTCGAAATGATTTGACATTGTTATCTCAATATTTCCGAAATGTCGACTCTGTCATTAAATGGAAACTGATTGTGGAATTTCAGAAGTATTGAAGTGATTGAGTCAGATCATTTTGAACCTCAAAACAAATATCACCATTCGACTCAGTATGGTGAATTATCCTTACCTAGCTGTTTTTTCATCTAGTTGCAGGTTAATTTGCTGAAATTGAGAGTCTCAAGAAAAGTCTTACAATTATCGAATTAAACAAGTTAGCAATGTGGGCTTTGCATAGATCAAAAGAGAAAAAACTTTTTCTGTCGAAAGTTCAATTAAAAGTTTGAATCGACAAGAAAATAGCTTCAGAATATCTTCTTCGACACACTCCAACCAGAACTGTCCTGATTGGTCGGTTTATGACCAATCAAATATCGATATACCTAAAGAGCCCTTGGTCTTTGCTCTTTAATAGTGAAAACCGCAGATCTCTACGATGTTCCTATCAAAATTTGTTCAACTGCTAATATTTTGGTCGGATTATTGTGATCATCAATGTTAATCTAATAGGCTATTTAAAAAAAAGTCCTATGTACAAAGATTTTCTGTATTTTGTTTTGAAAGATCAAATTTGATTAAAATTCTAGTAAAAATCATATTCATTGTTATTAGGTTTGTCTAAATAATGGTTTCGATAAAAACTTATAAACCATTGTAAAACGATGACAGCCTTGTAATATAGTTCTCAATTAATTCTAGAAAACTAACAAAAAAAATGCATGATTAATATTGAACTCAAATCTTTGAAGTAACAATTAATATATATATATAGACTATGAGCTTCTTCAAAGGAATCATATCCTAATGAACAGCAGAGTCTGACCAACTAGTGCTAAATCTTAGCGCTTTTTTGAATACAACTCATTGCATTATAACTTAAAAATGAAAATTATAGATTTTATAGAATATAAAAACGAAAATAATTCTAGTCCATAATCAACTAATTCTACATATGTTGCTACTCATTATTTTTATATATTGGTTCTCCAATAACTTTATTATTTGATTGATGATAAAAATAGATCAGCCGATGTTTTTTTTATACTTTAATAGTTTGACTACAAGTGTTAGTCATACAGGGTACTATATAGTCATAAGTTTACTTTTCGGCAATAGTTTTATACTAAAAAACGTGATAATACTTACAATAAAACAGATTCAATAACATGTTTTCTTGTTATTTTATTGTTTCGTGAAAACTTTAAAGTATTAATTTTAGACAAGTTAACAAGATGTGAAAGATCATCAACATATTTTTGTGAATCATCATTATTTTTTCGAGATAAAGATAAATCTACGTAAAAAGAAATTTTGTAGTTTATTGATCTATTTAAGAAGCAAGTAAACTTACATAGCTTTAATTGTATCATAGTATCTTCGAAAAGTGATAGAATTCCTGGTGTCGTATAATCCAAATGACATACAATATAGGTGATATTTTGAAATGGAAAAATAGTAGTTAGTTGAGATTCTATTGTCATTGTTTCTTTAGTCATAAAAAAATAAAGTTTGTTGCCATAAAAAGGATGATTGAAATTATTAAGATTGAATATGTTTGTTGATCGCATATCAACTGTATCACTAATTATAATTGTTGCCATATCATATTCATGTCGTACTGTCAAATGGTTATAACTGAATGTCCATAAATGAATATGTTCATCTGAAATTATTATAATCAAAATAAGAATGAAATAAATAATCATAATTAAAATGTTTGTAGAACTGACATCGATTTTTGGAAGGAAATAGTAAAAGTAATTTTTAAGTCAACATTTTATGGTGTCCTATGAACTCGCTCATTACAGATCTTAGGAACCGAGGATAAAAGACGGTGCAGTCCTTTTCCAGAGTTTCTTGACAACAGAAAAAAAATCACTGAATGGCATTAACAAAAAAACTTACACTGTTTTAAATACTGCTGTTTCTGATTTTTGCGTTAATAAAAATTAATATTCAAGATATCAAGAATGATGCGTAGTGATTAGACATTTGTGGGACAATGGTTTTTTAGTATCAGTCTCGGTAACTTCTTTTCTAGTGGTTCTCATTTCAATCTCTGTGATTTTAGCTTTCACGATATCGGTTTCGATCTACAGGAAACTACTCCAGAATTTATTCGTATCAAATCTAAAATAATTGTTCAATACTCGATTTTCTTTTGGTTTATTTAGTCTAAGACTAACACTTTTTAGGGACATCTCTCTTGAATTATATTATGATTCATATGATTTATAAGATAATTTGCTTAAAACTATAAAATATTTTACTATAAACTTAAGTTTATGTCACAGCAATTTTTTTCTCGTAGTGATGCATTAATTTGCTACAATCGTCATATGATCAACATAAAAAGCATCAATCGATTAAGTTATAACTTTGAAAAATAGTAAATATCAATATTGATGAACTTATTGATATATATAATAATGCATTGAGATCTGCTTCAGATATAATGGATATGTACAATGAGTTCATTGGTCAGTTAAATCAGTTGTTACAATACTAAATAGAAAAACTATAGTGCTTGTACAAAAACTATTTTTTTGTGTGCATACCCTAATATATATATAGAGACAGCTACCGATTGTAGGAGACGAGAAAAAAGAAAATGAAAGAGGAAATATGAATTAATTTAACCATCACACATCATAATCAAACAGGTTTTATTGGCATTTTCTTATTATGATATTGGTTGAAGAACGATCAAATGCCATAGAAAAATGGAGCATTGTTTTTACTATCAGATTGTATAGAGAGAAAATTTCTTTAAGGACTTAAAATACTTCCACCACTACTTTTCGATTGCTCTGAGTATTTGTTTTTCGGTAATTTGTCTAATTCTATTTATTTGACTTACATGGAAACATTGGTGGTGATAGAATTTTCGGCATAAATTTCCATCGAGTGATACACATATTCCAGTTATGATACAAATTGAGAAAACATTTGAATGAATTAAGTATATTATCTAAATCTATTGATTCACCATTTACTATGCCCGATATATGAAAATCAAATTTATTTAAATAAGGTACATGATTTGTTAACATTTCGTACCAATTTTGTCCATTAATTAAATCCATAGTAAATGGAAAAATATTTTGATCACCAATAAGTGTAAAAATAAATCGATGAAGATTAGGCATACAACGAAGAATAAGACCAATTGAATGAATATCACATCGAGCCATTATTATTTGTAGATCAAATGATTTTAATAATGTTGATTTAGGAAGATCATCTTCTTTAATAATTGGAAGATCAGGAACACTTAAAACAAGTCAAAAGAAATATACAGGATGTTCCAAAAGTCCCTGAAAAAAGTAATTTTGAATTTCTTCATTATTTATTAAGCTTAATCAACGAATTTTTTTTTTCAAATGATAAGTACCGGTGTGAAGTTTTCTTTGATATGGACAAGATTCACAAATACTGTTCAAAGTTATTAGTTTTGGTTGATATAAAAAAAGCACTCGTTTTTCGGTTTTCAAAAACCTCTAGGCAGTGTTTCTCTTTTAATGTTTTAGTTTCTTGCATTTCGTATGACGCTTGGATCGACCAGATCCTTCGCTATTGTTTATCTGCATTTATCTTGGTATGTCACTACAAAAAGAAGCCTAATGGTGTCAACTTCGGTAGTCATGAAGCTCAAAAGACCGGTTCACCTCCTTCAGTTCACGAGTCATTGTTCGCAAACACGAAGCGATTTCATGAGCTTCGTGAATACCGAATTTTACACCATTAGGCTTCTTTTTGTAATGACATACTAAGACAAATGCAGATAAACGATAGCGAAGGATCTGATCGATCTCACCGTCATACGAAATGCAAGAAACTGAAACATTAAAAGAGAAACACTGCCTAAAGATTTTTTGAAAACCCAAAAAAAAAGGGTGCTTTTTGTATATCAGCCAAAACTAATAACTTTGGACAGTATTTCCGAATCTTGTCCATATCAAAGAAAACTTTACACCGGTACCTATCATTTGAAAAAAAAAAGTCGTTGATTAAGCTTGATAAATAATGGAGATATTCAAATTTACTTTTTTCAGGAACTTTTGGGACACCCTGTATATACGTATTTTTTTAATTCTTAAATAAACTTTTGAATATTAATCATTCAGAAATTAGCATATAAACCTACTCTATAAAATAAATCGTTGGATGCTTTGTATTTCTGATTGTTACACAAAGAGATCGTAATGTACGATGAATACGAAGTAAAGGAATAAGCGAATAAATCGATATATCATTGAATGTACCATAAAAAATTATTTGTAGATGTGCAAGATTTGTTGTAATTATCAATGCTTTTGCTATTTGTGAATGATTATAATGAAAAAAAAGTGCAGTTGATCGTAATGTTAATGGTGTATCTACTAAAATCCATTGACTAAATTTATGTGCATCAGATGTATTTAGTTTATCTTGTTCAATAACACGGGATTGATTTATACGAAACAAAACGAGCTTAGTTAATTTTGATAATTTTTTATGAACGATATTTAATTCAGGTGATGATTTAATTGAATAAAATATGCAAGAATAAAGATTTATAAAATTATGTCGATTAAATAAATATATAATAACATTGTCTTGATCACAAATTTCATCATAAATTTTTAATGAAATAACTTGATCAGAATGAAATTTCAAATGATTAGATAAAAATTTAACTTGATGATGATAATGAGTAGAACGAATGTTTACATGAAGATTTATTAAATTTAGAATTGATGATATACGTGAGTTAAGTGAAGTAAATGCAAAAAATATATTAACTGCATCTAAATAATCGAATATTTCCAAAAATATATCATTTGATAAATCTTCGAATTGAGTAACATTAGTCATTTTGTCTGTTATTGAACATCTATCAGTGTTGTATATAAATATATTGTATGTGCATTTAATTACAATCTGATCAACTCGTCGACGGTTACAGATATATTGACTATTGTGTTTATGAATGTCTTCTAAAATTCCGTCAACATAATCGACGGATCGAACAATTCAGACGAATTTTTTTCCTACATCACAGTCAATTAGAGTCTAAAAGGTTATACAAAGAATATCAGTTTGTATCCGATGTCATTTAGACTGTTTCTTCATTATATATTTTTATCTTATTGATAATATTATTTGACTATTTATATTGATAGAATATTAAAATAAACAAATCTACCTAGTTGAAGAATTCATAAAAGATTTATCCACTTTAGACTTCGAAAAATCATACAATTCATTATTATTATCGAGTAGAGCATTTCACATAAGGGTGTGGGTCTTGTCTTCATCTACACCCACATCCCTAATTTTCTTTTGTTTTTTGTATTTAGACGATAACAAAACTTGACGTTAGTTACTGTTTAGTTACCAAGACATGGAAACGTATTGAGTATTTTGTTGAGCGGAATGGACAAATAACAATAGGAATGAATAACTTCGTTGAAATTGAAACATGGATTTCCATTGAGTATTGTGTGTCTTTATAACTTTCAAGAAATAAAATTTGCAGGAATGAGGATTACACTATTTTACAAAATGAAAATAATACTATTCATTTATTCGGAGCCATACTATGCCAATATAAAATGAAAAAAAACACCATGTGATAAGTGAGGATGAGCACGAGCTGGTATAATCGAAAATTTGACTTCGCTGACCACAAAATCTCACTCGATGGAGTGATTTTGGATATTCTCATCAGTAGAATAAATCTATTGTTCTATCAAAGGCTCAAAAATCAACATAGAGACCGACTTCTCTGATGTTTCTTATCTTAAAGGATTCAAAACCGTGTTAGAGACCCATTATAGAGTAAGTAAGAGCTGCCACCATCATGATTTAGACCTCACTGACGATAAAGTCTCATCAGATGGCTTCTTCGCTCCTAGTATTTGAATTGTCTTATATAAGATGATTGACTCTATGCAAGATTGAGAAACGTTATTATGGTCAAATGATAGACTTCCGGATTGGATTCTCGCAAAGGGTTTATCAGCCTGATGGTGACTGTGTTGTTTAATAGAAGTGTTTTTTGAAGGCAGATGGCTTGAATGAGCCCTTATTGTCGTTGAACTGGCTATTCTTATCAAGTTTAATATGTTCGACGTCCCCTTTTTGAAGTCATAATACGGAAAATATCTTCCTTTCTTGGTTATGGTATGTTTGTTTTGCAAACATTAGTTATTTAGTAGAGAAACAATACTGGATATGTAAGATGTATCAATGTATGACGATCAACTGCAGGTTATTTTTTTGAGTCTACTAACTCGTTTTGTTTCAGTATAGTTAGAAGAACGCATAGTAATAATAGGTAATCAGCATTGACTAAGTTCTCTTGTTTTCAATAACAAATTGTGGAGGAATAT